TAGGTGCAACTCCTAAGTTTTGTTACTATTTTAGTGCTAGAGTTGTAGGTACTTGAACTATTATAGGGTGGGGGTGGGTATGTACTAACTACACAAACCCACAGTTAATAGTTGTGGAGTACAAAGTGGAACGAGACGGACTTATGCAGTAATTAATAATCAGTTAACTGTGTGTTAGTGGAAAACTGAACGAGTGAATGCAGGTACAACCTAAACCGTTTTGGGGGAGGTTTAAACTCTCAAAAAATCAAAACCCTCCCCTGTGTGCGTCCTTGCTTTGTGATAATATGAATAAGCCCATAAAGAGCGTCTAAAAACACGGCAAAGCACCTCGGTGTGATCTTACGGGGTTATTGGATTTGACCCATTTTCAATTGGCTTGCTAAATGTGGTATATGTATATAATTATGTTAACTGTGCAAAGTTGAACCGAATAGATTCAAGCGTTTGCCATAGACAGAGAGGCGTGACTCTACGGGGTCATTTGATTTGACCCATTTTCAATAGGCTTATTACTTGTGGCATTTAGCTCAACTGTACAAAGTTTGAACCAAATCGGTCCAAGCGTGTGACAGTTCGTGTTCACGGACGGACAGACGAACACCATCGACTCCCCCATAAAGCTTGCATCGCTTTACTCTGCCGCTTAATAAATGTAATCAAACCATTTCTTAAACATGTTTATTGCATTTTGTTGAAATTCGCTTATTTTGCTTCCTGGCAGATAAAATAATTAGGTAATGAAACGTGGTTCGGTGCGTAAGTTCCTCGGTAAGTTCATACTTACATACTGTTCAATGTAGGTGCATTAGTTTGAAATGATACAATGAAAGATTTCGAACAAAAGTAAATTGTAGGCAATTCAATTTTCGGCAAAAAGTTTGGGATACTAGTACATTCGTGTCTTGGTCATTTAGTTAGGTAATAGCATTGAATTTATAACTTATCAAATTCAATGGTAATAGTCGTGAGCATTTAAAACCAATTGTCAAATTCTTGACAGAACAGGTTCCTATACTGCATTCATTACACGAAGGTAGTAGATGGCGCTGTGTTTGAAGATAAACACACAGGAAAAATATAAAACGGCACCAAATTATTGTAAAGTAGAGATATTCAGTACTGCAAACAGAAATAAATCTTTGACAATAACAACTAATGACACTTCCGCAGTTTAGTTGGCAACATAAACTACCACCTTACAAAATTCACCAGTCGTTTTATGTTTCATTGTAATACTGACTCGTGTTTTAACCAATCACAGTGAAGGTCAAAGCATCCCTATGCTTTCTACCGCTAAATTCTTAAAATGAATACAGTATAGCTCAAACCATGCTCAAACCAGGTATTAAAAAAAGTTGTTCACAAGTCTTACTTTCTTTATGCATAATGTAAACTGCCAAAATTTTAACGAAATCAAAATAACCGTTTTGCCGACAAAAAATAGTAGGAGCATAATTTTTGTAAATTGCACACAGAAAAAGAATATGTCGTTGCCACACTCTAAATTTTTTCTTCAAAAATCCGGCCGGTTGTTTTATGTTTCCATATGCCCAATATACTTACATATCCAAAATTTGAACAAAATCCGTCAAACCGTTATCTGGGAATATTGCCAACGCGAAATGGCAGTTTTTACACAAATTTCAGAATTATACAATAAGTGACTTGCGTCACAAAAATACGGAATAAGTTCATGAAAAATTCAAATGAAACATCAATTTCCCAATTCTATAATTTATTTAGATATTTACGGCAAATTTATTTTTGTGTTGTCTAGTTTGAACGTTTGTAATAGGTATCGCAAGAAATCTGAGATATCTAGTCATAGCGTGCTATTTCCGAGGCTATTTCGTATCAAAGAAAAGTTTAATATGTTTCCGAAAAATTATGAGCTCTGCCTACTTATACATATCAACATTACTAAAGAATTAAAAATGTACACAATACAAGAGCTTTAAATGTGTCAGTTTCAGTAACATTGAAAGTATTTTAATCTCGATTTTAACAAATTTATTCACAAGTAATACACTCATTGGACCGAAAAACAAAGCGGTTTAATTTTTAAAACAAATTTTGTTTTGTAAAAGTTAAAAAACAAGAACGAAAAAGCACTTTTCGATTTTGCCAAATATTGCTACCACGAAAGGGCGCACCCCTAACTGTAGATCTGAATAAATGCACGTCTTATTTACAAAAAAATGAAAACCACAAATCTAAAATGAAATTAAAATTTTGAAAATTTTCATTTCCACCGCAACTCTTGACCAGACAACGAAAATGGAGAAAATTTCACGAAATTTGTTGTGTACATACTTGATGAGTTAAAGTAGTTAGAGCGCCTTCGGCTGAAGTCAAGCGATGTACTCGGCGTATCTATTACCATTTATTAAGCGGCAGAGCAAACCGATTGTGTCCGTCTGTCCGTGAACACGATAACTGTCAAACGCTTGGACCGATTTGGTTCAAACTTTGCACAGTTGACCTATATGCCACATGCCTATTGAAAATGGGTCATGACCACGTAGGGTCACGCCTCCCTGCTTCTGGCAAACGCTTGAACCTATTCGGTTCAAACTTTGCACAGTTAACATACGAGTCCACATGTAACAAGTCAATTTAAAATGGGTCAAATCCAATGACTCCGTGTGGACACACCGAGGGCGAGGTGCTCTGCCGCTTTTTTAGATGCTCTTTATGGGTTTATTCTTTATTCAATGCTATTACTTATTTAAAAGTAGCCAAAAAAAGTTTTTAAGAAAGAAATACAGTTAGGAATACGGTATGAGTAGTATTTTGTACCTCAGCACAATATAAACGTCATGATTTTTAAAAAGGTATATACAGTAGTTTCGGCAGTAGTCAACTTGACTAGTCTCCCATACATTCGCTTTTTAGCGCATTTCCACAAAAATAAAAAAAAAATGCGCTATTGTGGCCACTTTGTCCGTCCGTCCGGCTGTCCGTCCGTCCGTCCGCTAACTTTGCGACGGTTGCCGGTTGGTCTCTCCGTCTGTTCCTTTGTCTGTCTGTCCATCTATCTGTCCGTGTGAACGATAACTTTGTTTAGAAATGTTCGATCGCTTTTACATCTCCGTTAGAACTGAATTGCATGAAATTCAATATGGACATAGCTTTAGCCATATAATACGCAATGCCAAAAGTTGAATCGAATCGATTCAAAATTCACAGTGCCCTTTTCGCATCTCGCCCATTTATAAGCCGAATTGCAAACTTTTTTACTTATAAAAGTATTTGAATGAAATTTGATACATAGGCACTTGGAATAAAGGAAAATCAAACGCCAATTTCAAATTTTGGTTTTGCGCATGCGCAGTGCCAACTTTTTTATTTATGGAAGAATTTAAACGAAATTTGATACATAGGCACTTGGGATAAAGGAAAATCCAACGCCAGTTTCAAAATTTGGTTTTGCGCATGCGCAGTGCCAACTTTTTTATTTATGGAAGAATTTAAATGAAATTTGATACATAGGCACTTCGAATAAAGGAAAATCAAACGCCAATTTCAAAATTTGGTTTTGCGCATGCGTAGTGCCAACTTTTTTATTTATGGAAGAATTTAAACGAAATTTGATACATAGGCACTTGGGATAAAGGAAAATCAAACGCCAATTTCAAAATTTGGTGTTGCGCATGCGCAGTGCCAACTTTTTTATTTATGGAAGAATTTAAACGAAATTTGATACATAGGCACATGAGATAAAGGAAAATCAAACGCCAGTTTCAAAATTTGGTTTTGCGCATGCGCAGTCCAACTTTTTTATTTATGGAAGAATTTAAATGAAATGTGATACATAGGCACTTGGAATAAAGAATCATCGAGCGCCAGTCTCAAAATTTTCTTTTGCGCATGCGCAGTGCCAACTTTTTTATCTATGGCACCATTTAACTGAAATTTGATACTTAGGTGCTTGGAACAAAGGAAAATCTAACATTAGTTTTAAAATTTAGGTTTGCGCATGCGCAGTTCCAACTTTCTTATTTAGAAAACATTGAAATGAAATTCTTTCATAAACTGAAATTGAAGTAGCACGTCAAAAATGGATTGCCCATGTGCAACGCTATCTTTCATATTTGTGGCCGGATTTTTACGATTTTAACAGAAGTTGCATCTTATAAATGGGAAATGAATGCAAGTGGAAATGCGCTTTATGTAAATCGTTTATGATTACTTTTTAACTTGTTTTAGTTAAATTTGATGGAAATACATTTCATACTTAACCGACAACCAAAAGTAACCACAACCGTGACTATGGTTCAATGCTTTTGATTTGCGGCGGTACATACAATTAATTACTTACTTGTATGTCACAAATTCACAATTTTCATTTATCAGCAGCGTACTCTTTAGCATTGAATAATAAGACCTAATTGTTGATGGCTTGACTTTCATGGACTGTTCTGATAAATAAGCCATACGTACAGTTTTAGTTTTAGTTATCTATAGAAAAAATGTTGTACTCCACACGACGATCAATTTTCATGATCTTCTCGATGCTTATTAGCGTTGAGGCGACGATAAAATCGCTCTCCTAGATAAAGTGCAATTTTATCAACTTGTACAATAAACAGCTATATCTTTGCAGCTATTGACCTTTCAAATATTTTCCCTTTTAATCGTTAGATGTCAGGATCGTTCTTTGTTTTATAAATAGGATTACAATGTTCTACAAATAAATCTTTTACGAAGCGTTGGGTAAATATTTATAACATAATTAATAAACTTGTAACAAATATAGCAAACAAGCTACTGGGTCCCTAAAAATTTAGTCAGTTCTTCCTTGGGTGATGATAAAAATTCGAAACCGTTCGCAAGTTCTATGTACACATACGAAACGGACGGACGGACAGAAAGTTAAACTATCGAAAACTATTACATACATTTTTTTGCCATCGAACCTGCGCTTCTGATAAACTTTGATACCTCCTGTATGACATTGTCTTTTTTTTTTATCACGTTGGCGAAACTTTTTACGAATTTCCATAATCGTTGCCATATAAGCAGGTTAACTTCGTGTCCGAAATCCGTATTGATTCATCCTTGAGGTTTTCTTTCAATAAAAGAAACACAATTATCTAATTTCTTGTTAATTAGTGTAAAATGGACAGCACTAAATTGGACATATCCGCTAAGCCGGATAAAGAATCGCCGTCCGCTGTCTACAAACAGATTCCTGAAGTTGATATGGAAGGTAAAAAAAAAGAGGGTTGCATCAGCTTCTTTTTGCTTGTGCATGAAGGAATTTTAATTGCAGAGGCGGCCGTCGAACAATCCAAACGGGTTTTAAAAGCTAAAAGTAACGGAATGGAGAAAGACGGTGCAGACGAGAAGATGCTGCCAGAAGATGATGTTAAAGTAGGTGACCATTCGAAAATTAATGTGGCCGATGTGAAATTCGTTTCGAATGAGAAACAGAATGGTGACGCAAAAGTTGATATAGGTAAGACGACGCTTATTGCTTTACAATTCTGTATTAAATTAAGATATTCAGACTTTTGTATTTTTGGTAATGACCGTCTGATCAAAGATCCCATTCGGTCACTGATTTATTGTTAATTTGATTTGGTGCATAAATAACTGTGTCACTTATGTCTGCATTCGTGACGTAACTGCATGGTTATTTATGTGGCAGTGTATGATCACGCAGGGAGTAAGAATGTGTCCTATATCCCGACTCTTAATAGTAGGAAAAATTATGTTTATCTATATGTAATAGAAAAAATCAATAAGTAATATGGGTGTGGTTATAGGTGCTTGAAGATAAATTATTATTCTTAGTGAAGCAGTACTTATTAGCAGTCACCTCCTTAATCCGTTCGTTAAAAATAAATCTATCTTGATTTAGAAAAAAAATTAATTTAAATGCTTCGTTGCAATTCTCAAATATTGAAGCATGTATATTTAATGGTACATTATTATGCAGAAGTCCCATAAGTAATTCCATCTATAATAAAAATGCCAACAGAAAAGGAATGTACAGCAGTGCGATGTTGTAAGAAATGACATGTAACCTTGTAAAGACCTTGGTAAAGACTGTCTGCAGCTTAGATCATGATCTAAGATCTGCAGATGAGAAAAATTGGAGACAATTTAAATTTAAATGCTGTGCACAAACTGTCAGTTGTTCATTACAAAAACAATTGACACTGGTGTATAAATAAGACTATTATTAGCACACGTTGAACATTTTGAGAACAGTGATAATGTTAATCTAGTGATTAACTAACCCAAGGTTTAATCTGTAAAGCCGATATTCTTATTATTGGAATAATCAGATTCTTTTTGTAAATTTTCTGTAATGGTCTTCTAAAATAAATAGCATTTTAAAATAATACTAGATTTTGCCATGTGACTTTGTACATTCGATATTGACGGATATATAACAGAAATCTCGACGGAGACCCAGCGTACAGCATGTCAAAATGTAGACATGAAAACAATCCAATTCATAGCCATCCTTGACTGTCATTTGTGAAGGTAGTAGAGCTCAGGTCATTTTTATAATTAGACGTTGAAATTGGCAAAATTGAGATTGTGAACCCAGCAAGATTACACAAATCAAGCAATGCATCAATTGTCAAAAAGCATAAGCTCATAATGGCCTACTTCGACATAATTTTAAAAAGATCGGTTACCTGATAACTAGCATTTTTGGTATAGCAAAAGTAATTGCAATTGCATTGGGTTTTCAATTCTTGATGGAATGGTATCAAAGTTTGATATTTCATTTCGAAGTTAATATTTGATTTATTTCAAAGAAGAATGGGTAATATGCCACTATTAACGAAAAAAATAATAGATTTTTATACTTATACTATCCGATGAGTCAGGCACTATGTTCATGTATGCAGCATTTCAAATGTTATTTCAGTTGGAAATCTAACAGTATGTTATACCTTATACAGTGATGAAATGTTTGATTACATTGCATATACTTGGAAAGTTTTAAAAATGGGAAAATGGTCTTATCATATTATTATTATTAAATGTATAATTAATTATACGCTTTATTTATTGATGATCTGATAATGTAAATAATCTTAGAAATATAATTCATAATTTGGCTAATTGTCTTTATTGTTGCATGTATGTACTGTGCAATGGAAAAGACTGAAACTTGTCCTTTATTAGGTGAAATCAAAAGTGCATTTGTTGGTCTGACCAAAGAGGAATTGTTGAAATGCGCTAACGACCCCTTTTGGGTGAGATTACGATGGTTCTTATTTATTTTTTTCTGGTTGCTTTGGGCCGGTATGCTGGTTGGAGCAATATTGATCATCGTCGCTGCTCCAAAGTGTTCACCTCCTGAACCACGTACTTGGTAAGTTAAAAATTTGTCTTTTTAAGTGAGGTAGGTATGTTTATATAATGAATCATTTATACACGGTTTTTGTTGTTTTGTTAAATAAAGAGATCAAAGTTCATATGTGAGTCAGTATTTATATTTTTTAATAAATTGCCTCATCAACAAAATAAAATAAAAAGGACTAAAATATTGTATAAAGCTTTTGAAAGATCTTGCTGTACTTATTTTTTATTGTGGTGGAGAAAGTCAAGCGAAAATGTATATGTCATAGAAAGCTTGGAAAAGATTTATTTGATAGACATTAACCACGTGGATGTCATGGTTTAGTAAAGTTTGGTGGCAGAGTGGCAGTGGAAGTGACAGGTAATAAAATACTGTAGGATGTATTCAAGATTTTTTTCCTGATGGATGGTAAACATGAGGGTGAAGGTGTACTTTTTCTGTTGGTGGTGGTGAAAGAGAATGTGAATGATAGTAAAAAGCTCTATTGTCATTCACATATATTGAGGACATTTAAGGATGCATCTCCTGGATTACATTGCTTTTTGTAAAATGGTTTAAATATTAAATGTCTACCTGGCATAGATCTGAATATTTAAATGCTAGGTAGAGGTGGCTATCTCTACCAGAGCATAGTTGAGTGTTCTAAAAAACCGCTTGAGTGACGAGCGCTCAATTGTCTCAAAAATGCTCGCGAGCATCGAGCTGTTTTGCGATGTGAAACCGCTTGCGAGTTTCGATCACTTCTAAAAGTGCTCCAGTGGTGTATCGCGAGCGCTCGGGGAAATGTGCTGTCAGCGGAAAAAACTCTCGCAAACGGCGCTTAATCCTTCAGCGCTTGAGGGCGGTGAGCGACAAAAAACGCTCAGGAGCTGAAAGAGCTCGCGGGCAGAAAAAATATAATATTAATTCGTTCAATAATTTGACTTAGGATTGTTAAGTACCAATTTACACTCTAACTGCACCCTAGTTTGTTTTATGTTGACAAAATCAATTGTGAAATACCTTTGAATTTGGTTCCCTTATTCTAAAATTTAAATTGAAGTCGATTTAGATTCTGCAAGATTAAAAATTCCGAGAAGGCTGGTCACAAACTCAGGGGTTTCTGTATATAAAAATATAAAAACAATAATAATAGGTCAGAATGTTCAGTACAAATTTTGAGTTGCCAAGTGAAACGAGCACTAGCATAAACTCGCTTTTAAGGGTTTGTTTTTGAATTTTATTAATGCGTGGGAAATCCCTTTAGTAAACCTTTGGCCTGATTTACCCTTCACTGTGGCGGCACAAAAATAAACGTAAGTATTATCTGACTTTGCTAACAGTTTTCTTTATTGCAATTTCACTTTACACGGGATATTAGAGTATCATTCTTTCCAATGTCAAAATCTATATAACGCACTGCAACCTTTTTTACAATTGCAAAAAATTATTTTTAAAAGGCCTTCAGGTGCAGGCAATTCTTTCATTTTAACCGGATGCAATGGACCATCATCATACTGCGATTTGTGCTTTTAGAATTTTTCAAAAACAATTTGAGAATTGGTTTATAATCATAACTCCTTTGTTTTTTGTGGCTTCAAGGGCTTAAAACAGTAGTGCTCGCATATAAATACACGTTTTAAACGTCTATATCTCATTTAATTTTTGTCGTACAGTGTCGTCCGATGAGCAAAATGTTTGCAATTAAAAAAGCTACCATTTTACTTACCTCCTTTGAAGTTATGTTGAAGGGAAGGATCTTTTTGACAAAACTGCGATAATCCATTTTTAAAATTTAGCAATTGTTTTAAAATTAAGTATTCCAAACTGGTCAAACTTCTAGAATGTATTAATAATACATAAATAAAGAAAACTGAATTAGGGGGTTGTTTACGTTACTTTTTTCGCTGAAGAAAGTGGGGATCGATATTATTTTCATCATAACTCGCTCAATTTCTATGCTAAATACATTTTTTTTTTAAGAAAGGTTTTTTAAATACTAAGGCCAGACCTGAGCTCTAACAAGAGACAATGACAATGATGTAAATAATAGCCTTTATTGATAGTGCTTATTAAGAGTAGAGACAGCACGATTCGTCAGCATTGGGCAAGGTTCATTTGGCGGATATCCGCATCCTGCTCTTCCACCTAACCCTCTGAATGATCGATGTGTAACAGTGACTGGAGACGTGTTGATCTATAAAACGCAAGGATGATAGATGAGATGAATAAATGCAGTACATATTTTATGATAACTTGAGTATTAATTTTCACAAAAAAATGTCTAGAACAGTTTTTGGTTAGAATCTATTGCTGTGGTCAAATTATAATAAATCATTTCCATTCGCGAGATAGGGTGGCAACCGTCCCCAGGGTGAAAGCGCCATTTGGCATAATATTAATTTTGATCATTGACATATAGATATTATGCAGGGTGTTTTTTTTTTCATTTCCACTACAGGGATCTCGGTAATTGTCCAAGATACCAAAAAAATACTTTTAACAAACCGTTAGTGATTTTTTCTCAGCTTTCTGGTTGGTAAGTACTAAACTAATTTTTTTATGACTTGTGGGTTTCAAGTAAATCACATCAACTTTCTTGTTTCTTATGGACGCTATATTGGATTTTTATGTCACTCGTTAGAGAAAAAAAGTATAAAATTGGTGACACCAAATACTTAGTATTTTATTTGGAAATTAATTTTGAATTTTTGCTTTGATGTTTCTTATGGCAATTATTCCATGGCCATGTTGACGGCGACTCTGCTAGTCAATAAACGAATGAATTTGGTTTCATTCACAATCGGCCATGGAATTATTGCCATAAGAGATACATTGTAAAGTTCAAGGCAATAATTCAAGAATAATTTCCAAATAAAATACAAGTATTTGTTATACATCAAAATCCAATATGGCGTCCATAAGAAAAAGAAAGTTGATGTGATATACTCGAAACCCACAAGTCACAAAAATGTGTTTTAGTATCATCAGAAGGCTGAAAATAAATGAACGCCGGCGCATTTTCGAAAATAGCTTTACATTGAAAAATTACCTACTACTATGTGAAAGATTAAAATGAGCTTATTGATCCTACTGCAACTGTTCAAGAACGTTTTGGTCAATTTTTATTAAAGATTTTAAAGAAAAGGAGCTACTACACTCCTTCTGTTTACTAAGTTTTTCACTCAGATTTGTATAAAACTATGTATTTTATTTTTTATATTTGGTCTTTATTTTTAAGTGGGCGGAGTTTCAGCCAAGGCTGCTCTACACTATATTTTAACACTTTAATCACATACACATACATTAAAAACCTTGTAGTATATTGTAATATTGTGAATTTGTTATTGTAGGTGGGAAGAAGGACCCTTAACAGAAGTAGATGCAGACGTCACCGAGGACGAATTGAAACAGTTAAAGGATAGCGGAATTCAAGGTGTTATTGTTACATGGCCGGATGATGTATACATACCGATCAACATTTCGCATAAGTTTATCTCATTCCTAAAACGATCCAATGAAACAAAAATAAACGTAATTGTCGATTTGAAGCCGGGAACATCTTCCAAATGGTTTTCTAAAGCGGAAGACAAAGAAAATGACGGCGAGTTTACAGACTATTACATTTGGGCTCAGCCGAAGAAATCTACTTCAGGAGAAGACATGGCACCAAACAACTGGGTAGGTATTATTCGCCATTTATTTCTAATAACACGCTCCGTGCAGAAATCCAGGCAGAATACGTCATCGTGGAAGTTCTCTCAGAAACTCGGAAAATATTACTTATCGCCCGATGACTCGCCGCAGCTGAATTTCACTAATCCAAAGGTGGTGAACGAGTTTTCAAATGTGCTGCACAGTTTTATTGAAGCCGGTGTGAAAGGGATTCGATTAACTGGAGCTCCGTATTTGTTAGTAGACCCTGGTTTCAAAGACGATGGAATTTCTCAGTTGATTGGTTTTGGCCTCACTGATTATGGTTTTTATACACATACCAATACCGAATATTTACCGGACTTGGGGCGTCTTCTAAATCAATGGAGGGAGATCGTTAAAGACAAAGCAGAGGGAGGCCCATTTATGCTGTCTGAAAGTCTGAAGGATTTGGATGCATTTAAAGTTAATAATTCTCTGGTTATTGATCTTCCCCTACAGGCGAGGGTGTTTAGTTCCAATAAGCAGTTATTAGCTCCACAAATTAATAATGATCTCAATAGCGTATTCTTAATTTTAGAAAACAAATATTGGCCACTTTGGCAGGTAAGTCTCCGGCGCTTTGTTTGTCATGGCAGTTCATACATACGAATTTGTAGCACACTTCTTCTGCCGTACCAGAAAATGTATTAAACATTGTAACAATGTTACTCCCTGGTGCAACTTTGTTAAGCAAAAATTCCACCATTTCCAAGGATCTGTTAACTATACGAAAATCAGATTCGGTTATGCATGGCAACACTGATAGATATTTAGTTGCAAATAATACTGTATTTGCATACATAAGGTAAGTTATTTAATTATCTTGTGTTGTTTAATATTTATGAATAATTGTTCTTAACTTATGCTTTCTGTATGTGGAATAGACTTAGGTAAGTCAAACAGTCATTAACATTAATATAGCATCCGAAAATACAAGGGCTCATGAGAATTTTTCCAGATTCGCACCAGGAAATCCGGGTTACATAGTCATGTTCAATCCTTCATCAGAGAGAGTACTGGTTGATTTGCCTACAGAAACATCATTAAAATTCGATGATGTTACAGTTCAGTATTATAGCAACAATTATAATGAAACTAATGTAGTAAAAAAGTAAGTACTTTATTTTGTGTTACTATTTTTATTTATTATAATAATTGTAGGAAAGCCACCGATCCAACAAAAGTTCCTTTGTCTCCAGAATCTGCCATTGTGATTTCTTATGTGCCACAATCTAAGTAAACAATAACATATTATATATTGACGAAACATAAGTATGCTTAGACACATTTGCATTGAAGGGATACATAGGTTTCATTTCACAAATACATGGTAGTTTGAAAGATTGTACTTTAGTTGGAAGTTAATAAATGTTTAGACAATAAATTGAGTAAGGTGTTTTTAGTCTATGCAAAAAGTATGTAGATCCGAGTTGCAGACGGTATGTTTCTACACAGTTATGGTATCGTCACCGACGAAACCTAAAATGCCTAACCAGTGGCTTGCAGCTGCCCCACTTGTATCACAGGATTTTTTTACGTGTTTGTTACTGGCACGAACTAACGGGTCTTTCAAAAAACGGCGCAACCTTAAGTTTAGGAAAGTAGGTATAAGTTGGGCATAGGTAAATTGTATTACTGGCTATTTCTCAGTTGGTAGCACTGTACACAAGGTTTAAGGCATAGCTTGCGCGCGGCGTACCGTATCACTGCGACTTTTACAGATTGATAGCACACTATTGTTACGCGCCGCGCTTATGATGGCACAAGTGTGCGTTATCATGCGACGTTTTTTAGCCAGATGATGACAATAATATTGAATAAGTCTATACCTACCGAATTGGATGGAAATTGTATTCTAACTTGTCGGTATGCATTTACCTTTTGCAGGGCAGCAAGGAAACGATGTTGGGGGATGAAGGAAAATTTATTTGTTTGACGTATCCATTGTAAGTAAATTACCAACAAGCTCCACAAAGTATCCGCGCCGCGGAATAAAGATTACAATTTAATTAAAAGAAAAATAAATCAATTTACAAATTATTGTAAATAAAACACGTCAGCGGGCGAAAGTAGCGGCAGTCGGCGGAACTTGAGCACCACCACGAGGTACGGCCTGGTCAAGGTCGGCGGTAGTAGTGGTTTGCGGTGCGGTCTTTGAAGCGTCAGGTAAATTTAATCAAAGTAAACGACAGCTCCAGGAATTGGACGAGTTCAGCAAATGGCGGCGGTCGCTTCGAAACGCTTAAAAGAAAATTAGCGGGAATGAAAGCAACAAAACACAGATTAATTATCGGTGTCTACGTCAGATCAAATGTAGGAAAGTAAAACAATATCGGATATCCCTCTTATCCTATAATAATGGAAATGGAAAGTAACAAAAAACTTACTTTTCAATTAAACTAAGCCGTAGACATTCCTGTGCAAGAAAAAGTAAATGAACATATCTTAAAAAGAGGAAAAAGGATCCCCTCTAAACAACGGCTGCCATGCCCCAAAGGGAACATAGGAAATTCCAAGCCGACCGGCATATTCTGTTATTTACATTCAAAAATTAAAACTTCTTTAATTCTGTGTGTTGCCTGCTGGCGTCCTAAAAATCTGTAATTGGTCTTTTTAGGCCGCTCACGAGTTAATCGGATGCTATTTACTGCATCTCATTTAATCAGCATAATTCTAATTAACACCCACTGTCTCTTGAAATCTCTCAGGTAGGCAAAAGGTCTTTTATCAAACTGCTACCGGCGTAAACCTCATGGTCTTGCACTTTTAATGCTCGTTTTAAATTACCATTGGAATCTAAAACCTGCTAATAATTACTTAACACAGCTGAAATTCTAAAATATTAATTCGCCTCGTCTTCTAAATCACAAGACCATTCGTACGCAGCAAAGATAACAGAAATATTTTGACGGCAACCGTTGGAAACCGCGAATTATTTACAGCTTTTGTGTACGGTCACGGCGGCTGCAACGCAACTAAATATACTTTCGACACGACACTTTTCGTGACGACGCGCCCAACTTAAAACGCTTCTAGATACCGGGATTTCCATAGTGATCACTAAAACGGTAACTTCAATGTGGAAAATGGGTAGGTACGCCCCGTTACAATATAGACTTCACTAAAGTTAAAGTTTATTACGTGTTTTTATGAACCCAGTAAATTTTGAGTCTCTTATCAGACAAGTTATACGGCAATATAAACATTACATCGGATCGCTAACATAGTCGAAACGTTTTTCATTACCAAATCAGGACTGAGGAATATTGTTTTTGCTGTTCTGCAGCTACAATGAACGCGAACTCGGGTGCTGGTTTGATCACAGTTAAGCTACTAAGATTGTCCCATCGAAACATATACTTATTTGCGTTGCAACTTCGGCCAGTACATCAGCACCATTGTCTCAGCAAAAATCTTTGGTTCTGTTCCTAAAATCGATTTTTCTGGTAGCGTTAACTGTTACTTATTAATACAAACCGTCCAAATCAATGTATTTAGTGTATTTAATATAGAAAATATTATCAAAGTCCTCGTGTGAGATCGAAGGGACTTCAGCGCATTTTTGTGTGGGAGATCAGTATTCTATTAGCCACTTTCGACTCAACCATCAATAACAGATCTTGTCGAAGGCTACTACAGTCACTAACCGTTTCCCACTTTCCGCGTGCACCCGCAATTCGCTTTTAAAGTTAAAATCGTGTCGGGGGCTACCACATTCCCTTTGACGGTACCTAGCCACTTCCAACGTCCCGTTCACCCGCAATTCGCTTCTATTGGCGACACAAGAAAGAGAGACAGCGATTCGAGATTTACGAAACGTTAAACCTAGTGAGTTCGCAACGGATGGTAAAAGGCGCCCGAAGTTGACTACTTCTCGAAGACGCGCGCGCGCGCGCCTCGCAAAAGGTCGTTAAGTTCGCCCCTAGGACAAAAAACAAAATTCCGCCACGCAGGAGTTGTGCGCGTTTACAACATCTTTCCGACGACACCAATTTGAAAACAATCGGACCAAAACTGTAGTAGAAGATAGGAAAAAACTGAAAAACCTTCACGTTAGTATACTACGCTCGAGGATGACGCCCAGATGTCGCCAACCCCACATCATGTAGCCATGTCCCTAAGGTTGACAAATTTCACGGCCTTGTAGATACACGTGCACCCGTTGCCTTTCTACAAGAGTTCTTCTACGCGCCCACATTTGCATCCAGCCAGCCAGCCAAAGTGAGATTAAAAGCTACTTTTTACAAATAAATTTGCAAAATGCGCTAAAAAAAATAATGGTGTATTGGTACGTACCATGGTAGAGGAGTCTAGTATTATTGCCCGAGCATTCCTGTGAAAGTATTTTTTACCTCCCCTAATTAAGAATAATTAATTGATTAATAGCACGTTTTATTAAGTATCTATTAATGTGGTCAAATAGATGTAGATTATTACTGTGATTTTGCCCTGCATGTTTAACTAACCATTTATTCTGCGTACCTCATAGTTCCGATTGTTCACTGTATCATGTTGCTTCCTCCATCTCATGCGGACTGGAGCTCTTTGTATCTTAGCAATTCGAGAAAAAGGGAGTCCTCTAATTAACTTTCCTTCAGTTTAGTATGTGGGGTCTGTTTGTGAGATAATCGACTAACATGAATACTGCATGCGCATTTCCACTTGTACTTTTCATGTTAAATTAATGATAACCAATGCTGGATTTGATGTTTTTTTATGTATGTGCAGTTTATCATTTTACGGGTTGTTTGTTTTACTAAGGCGCGTTTCCCACTGGAGCGATGCGATAAGCGATGCAACATGAGCAATCTTTTATCGCCCGATGCAACTTTTGTCCTCGCAACGCTCCAGTGCACACTGGAGCGATAAGATAGCCTCTAGGATAAGCAAAAGAGCAGTTGTTTTGATCAGTCGTCATGAGTTCCTCAGAGCGCTACTGCGAACTGTGGAATCTGCCCAATTGTATTGGCTAAGCATATCCGCGTAAGGTGCTTTAAGCTTTTCAGCTATTTGTTTCCACTAATACCTGTCAAATCAGTCCTGCTATAACTTTTCAATGCATAGTTCCATAAACACGCTTTCTGCTCCACCAATTTCACAAAGGAAATAGAGGATTGCACGTCTTCTTGCTAACCCGGCATGATTAATCGGACGTGTCGAACGATGCTGCGCTCAACGCGACCCGGCAGCTATGTCTCCCGCCCCGACGCGACTCCGATAATTATCGGTGTAGTATCGCGATCGCTCCAGTGTGCACTAGATAAGTTGCTTCCATTACGTTTGCACGATTATGAGTGATCGGTGTCGAATCAGGATCGGGTTGCTTATCGAATCGCCTGCTGCATCGCTTATCGTATCGCTCTAGTGGGAACCGCGCCTTAAAGTGAACCGTTGCGTCGATACGTTTAATGTGTTTTTGTACTAACTTGATTGCTCTTGTTTTCCCTTTGCGTTTATGATGTCTCTTGTGTTTGTTTTTATTAATTTGCTGAGCTGCATTTGACTTAATATGATATATATAAGGCTCGCCAGGAGAGAATGCCGCTCACAGAACACTTGATGCCAGTCTACAATGTATGGTTTAATATGAGTTGATGAAGTTAGATGGCTCTTCTTTTTCGCCAGAGTACCCAAATGTAAGTATCGAATAAGTTAAAGTTGCAATGCTTGTTTCGAGGACTAAGAACACTGTAGCTATAAAAAATAGAGTGTAATCCAAAGTGAGCAAAGGACATATTAAAGAAACTAAGAATTTTTTTCAGCCAGGATAAATTGGTCCCATACATGACACGTTTTTGAGAATAAAAAGCAAACATTCTCCATGCACCAACTGCTATTTTTATTCTTTTCACGCTCTTGGCACTTGAGAGTTCTCGTCAACAAGAATCCCGTAGAAGCGGGAAACAAATTGATTGGATCAGCCTCAGCAACTTTTTCCTTGCTGTAAAGGTGACCCCATAACCATTTCCATTTTAATAATTTGTTAGCCTTGAGTAAAAAAGATGGAGGGATAGGTACGCTCTAGCGCTGTGGGTTCTACTTTTCGACGCCTGATGACCTCCAAATTATGCTGCAAGGAAATGGCAACATTGTATTGCAGCTAAAATTGCCACAGTTTACCCCTAGCTGATATTCGGTCCGGTCTATTATCCATTTTGGATCATTCAGAATTTTTACCAAATCGGAAACTGCGCACACCTCAAATTCCAAATGTAAGTGTTAGCCGAAGTGAGGAGACCAAACGCAAAAAAAGTGAGACTGCTGCCTGTAGCTGCTGTGGTATATTTCAAAAAAGATTGGTTCAATCCACCGCTCAATTTTTTTTACATACGCATATGTTCCACTCTCAGGCATATCGAAAATTATGGTCAAGTAAATTAATGGAACTTTTACTGACATTCGAACTGTAGAACCATTGCGCCTGTGCAACACAAGACTAAATTTTAATACTAAATGAGGTACCTACCATTTCTACGCACGCTGATTTTTTTCAGGTAATGGTAAAATACGTTTGGTTCCCAGTACCTCGAGAATCGGCGCACGCACAAATTACCTGTGATATAGTGATACATTTAAGTCTCGTGATACAAGGACCTCTTATACTAGGATGCAAAAATAATAAGAAATTTCGCATTTGCCGCATTCTTTACCGGAAAAGCACTAGTAGAACGCTAAGATTGTTCAAACTAGCAACACTGTTTCTTTGAGATCGTCATTACCATGGAAACAATTTAAAACACAAACAATACATTTTTTGTAGTGCATTACAAAATCATGTTTACCTTAAACATTGCAAAAGAAGGCGAAATTACTAAAACTGTTTATGGACTGGTTAGTCCCCTTTTCATCCACAAATATTAAATACAATTACTTTAGATAAAGGAGTCGCGCTACAATGACGCAATCAAACTTCTACATGGTGTTCCCGGTTCGAATTTGACACGAGCTGGTTTATCACTCTTCGGCTATTGCTACTTTTACACACAAGATTATGCTAATGCCGCCAGTTACTATGAGCAGCTTGTACAAATGTATCCTGAAAATAACGATTATAGAATTTATCATGCACAATCCCTTTATCAGGCTTGTTTGTACGACGAAGCTTATCGTATAACTGAGACAATTCCAAATAATGACTATCCACAGGTTGGTACATTACATAAAGGCAAAAACAAAACACAAATAATTGTAGGTAATCAAATTGCAAGCCGCCATAAAGTATGGCGAAGAAGATCTACAGTCTGCAAAAAAGTATGTTGATATGTGTTCACCTGACGATCCAGATACTGATGTCAACCTAGGTTGTCTACTTTACAAAGTACAGTTTCAATGAATTCTAGAATTCAAATACAAATATCAGAAAAGTTACCACAATCCGTTTACAGAACGGTCACTTGTTTTTCAGAGTGGTATTCTTGCCTGATATGTGTACTTGAACTGTGATGGTAGGTATAATTTACTGAAATTTCCTTTAGGAAGGGAATTATGAAGAAGCGTTGAATAAATTTACAACATGTTTACAAAACATGGGATTCAAACCCTATCTTGCATACAACGCAGCGTTGTGTTATTATCGCCTTAAGGAATACGGACCAGCCTTAAAGCATTGTGGTAACAACTGCATACGCATGCGCACCAACCCATATTAAACTAGTACTCTTACAGGGGACATTGTAGAACGAGGGATCCGGGATCATCCCGAATTAAGTGTTGGAATGCAAACTGAAGGTATTGAAGTACGTTCTGTAGGGAACACTTTAACTTTACATGAAACAGCATTAACGGAAGCATTTAATTTAAAAGCGGCTATAGAATATCAGCTTAAAAACAGTAAGTAACTTCGACAATAAAGCCATGAAGATGAGAACTTAAATTCATCTCGACCTTTACCTACTTGTAGTGGATGCTGCACGAGAAGCGTTAACGGACATGCCTCCACGTGCAGAATATGAATTAGACGCAGTCACGTTACATAATCAGGCATTAATGAACATGGACCAAAATCCAACCGAGGGTTTTGAAAAGTTACAATTTTTATTACAGCAAAACCCTTTCCCGCCGGAAACCTTTTCCAATTTATTAATTTTATACTGTCAGTACGAATGTTACGACCTTGCAGCTGATATACTGGCGGAGAACGCGCATCTTACCTACAAGTACCTTACACCGGTCGGTACCTGCTTCTTCTGCACAAAACTAATTGATAATTTCAGTATCTGTTTGAGTTCCTAGACGCGATAATAACGCAACAAACCTCTCCTCCAGAAGCTTACCAAAAACTAGACGAACTGGCAAATCGGCACACCGAACTCTTACGCAAACTTACAAAACAAGTGCAGGAGCATCGCAGCAATGGTGACACCGAGCTGGTAAAGCGTACTGTGCTGGATTATGAAGAGTGCCTAGATCGATATATCCCAGTATTAATGGCGCAAGCCAAAATATACTGGGAAATCGAAAATTATCCGCAGGTCGAGAAAATCTTTAGAAAAAGCGTCGAGTTTTGCAACGATAATGATATATGGCGGCTGAACGTTGCTCACGTTTTGTTCATGCAGGAGAATAAGTTCAAGGAAGCCACGGGCTTTTACGAACCTATTGTGAAGAAGAATTATAGTGATGTAAGTAATTCAAAGATTTACCTCTTTCCTAGCTTTACTTTCAGATTCTCAAAGTGAGCGCGGTTGTTTTGGCCAATTTGTGCGTTTCGTACATTATGACATCGCAAAATGAAGAAGCCGAGGAACTTATGCGCAAGGTGGAGAAGGAAGAAGATCAGATTGCTTTCGAAGAACCGGAAAAGAAATACTTTCATTTATGCATTATAAATCTAGTGATTGGGTAAGAGGTGCACATAAGTCAAGGTTATTTTATTTCAAAGGTTACCTGGTAACTATGTGGGCGGAAGCGGGAGGGACGGAATGTATACGTCATCGAGAATTCAGACATTGACGTTCAACGTTGTTTGTAGTCGCGCGGGTGCTTATTTTTCTTGAGTTATAGTTTATTTGTTTAAAATTTGTTGAATTTTGAAGTGCATAAGGACATATATTAGCTGTAGATACCTGTTTGGTGCAATATAAAGACATTTAGTTTGTGAATTTTGTGGGTTTTCATAGCCGTGATTGAAAGGTTAGTTCATCAATTATATGCACTTGTGTATGTTATAATTAAGTATTTTTTTAGATGAGTGGCGGTAACACTAAAATTCCTCATCCTGGTGTAAATAAAATCTCGGTTTTTACGTTTCCCAAAGACTCTACCGTTCTTAAAAAATGGGTAAGAAAATGTTTCACATCCGGCAGCAAACTAAAACGTGCTGCGCCCTCAATGGCCAACCGATGAAATCGTAGCGCGTCCCTGGCCGAAAACGTTTAAAACCAGAGCCACGAACTCTGCAAAGTGCAATGCAATTTCTGCTTCGACTGCACTTCAAGAAACAAAAAGCTCTCCACCTGCAGAACCAGATCGCCTTGCTAGCTCGACCTCGCGCCACACTCCATCAGTCAGAAGACCTGCATCTGGGTTCACCCCAACGACAGAGCTCGCCGTGTGCACCTCGGTTACCATTTTGTACATACTAAAAATATACATATTCCATAAAACGCAAAAGCATTTCATTTGGCGTCATCCGCTAAAGAATGTTTAGAGTTTTAATTCCCAAAGCCTAGGTATTGATACATAGGGGTGGTTCCTATTTTGTAGGTCGCGGAATTTTATCCATTTCCACCTCTAAAATTAATTTGATTACATTTTCATAAGTCCTCATGCAATGTAAAATAGCTTACGCACCACACTCATTTTTTCAATACTTTGATTGCTTTCAAAGGTGGAAGGCGATAAACTTCCAAGATTTTCAATATAAGATCCACCCTTATATACATATATCCATATAAATCCAAAATATACTGCAAAAACTAAATTTTTTACCCCTTTTATTAGCATTGTAACCTATGAGCAATTTTAAATGTGTATTCTGGATGACGTTTTCCCGTCTTCAAAATGCAAGCATTCTATTGGTTTAGAGTTACCAGACAACCTTTCTAATAAAACAAAACAACCTTGCACATAAGTAATGTATTGACCTGATCTATTCACTTACAGAACGCTGTATTGCGCCAAAGGCAACTACGAGTTTGGAATATCTCGTACGATGAAATCTTTGGAGCCGTTCAATAAGAAACTGGGCACAGACACTTGGTATTACACGAAACGATGCTTTCTCAGTTTGATAGAGAATTTAGCAAAGCATATGATTGTTTTGCGTGACTCCGTTATTCTAGAGTGTATCGCGTTCTTGGAGAACTGTGAAGGTAACTACGTTAGCAAAATTGCAAAAGTAAATGACCACTTTTTAGTGCATGGGAAAAATGTGATGGCTGTAACATATGCTCCTTTCACAGAGGAGGTGCAAATTGACGGAAAACAAACTGTTGCATATGAAGCAAGGCAACTCAAATCTTTATTGTTGAAGCTGTATCACTACTAGTTAATAGAATTTCAGTAAATCTGTTTATATCTTAATTTTAGTGTAATTTAATCTTTGCTTAAGAAAACAACCTATAACTTATTATTCGTACTAAATCAGTTTATAATTTGCGATATTTAAAATCCGATGTGCGGCAGAGTCCCTTTAATTCTGTATTATGTGCTAAGTGTTATTTATTTATGAGTATACATTTGCTGCTGTGAGATGTTGGCATAAATTAAAATGCACCAATTCGTTTTTAGTTAAATAACTCACATTTTTCCGTATGTCCTTTTCTAAAAAAATAAGATCAGGCGGACTGACAGACCACATGTACCATATAATGACTTGGCAGGGCTGACTTCCCATAAACCTAAGTAGACCCGGGCTTAGAGCACAATTGGCATGGGTTAAATGTTTTTATATAATTTCACACCCTAGCCATTGGCGGGATTCAAATAACTTAAATTCAAACTATGTAAAGTAGAGATGGATAAGACAAAAATGCTATGTTGACTAACGTAGTTTGTGATACATATAATAATTTTTGCATTTCAAAATTATGCAAATACAAAATGACAAGTGAAAAGTTGCAAAGTTGTTTTATGATATATAGGCCCCTGGTTGCACTCAATCGTACCCAAGGAATTATTAGACAGAAATTTATTGAATAAATTGATCAAAAATGTAAAACGAATCAAAATGCTGAAACAATTACCCCAAATTAAGACAATACATTTAAAGCTAAACAAACGCAATGTTCCCCTAGAACTAACTCATCAGACAAAAGAACCTGGTCGAAGAAAATTCCAAATCACTGTTTACACAGGCTAAGTATAGCGGAAAACTGGAGCTGTGGAAAATGTTAAACACGTTTTATACCTATACATCTACAATATACAGGGTGTCCCTAAAAGGTCTGTACAACGCGCTACCAGGGGTTCGTGGTATCAAAATAGGACGATTTAACCCAACTTACCTCTATCCAAAAGTGCCTCGGTAAGGCGCTATCTACCGCCAAAGAATTTTAAAAAAAAAACGTTATTTTTATTTTATCGGAAAATGGTTTTGCCGATTAAAATGAAATTCGGGATGTGAATGTCTAATGTAAAAAGGGTCTTTGTGATATCATCGTTTTGATTGTAGGTGGTAAAATACTGACCATCCACATCTGAAGAGGTCTAAAACTTTTTAACTACTATTTTGACGGTTCTGAATTTTTAGACACTGATAAGACAGTTTTCTTGCAAGCATTTTTTGCCTCTTGATGAATATCGCTATCTGTGATGGTTTACGAAAAAAAAAATTTAGGCATGATGAATGGCATGCACCATACATGCGATTGTTCCTCAAAAAATCAGAAGATGGCTGTGAAACCTTAGAGTGGCGTAACGTTTGTTTGTTGTTTCTTAAACAATTTACGTTTTGCTTGAAGACTTAAAATTTCATTGTTAAAATTGTGATATGCGATTAGTGTTTGGATAGTCGTGGAAATGGTCGCCAATGCGTTAGGGAGTATACTCACAGGTTTCCAAATCGTCATAGCCTACTTCTTGCTTGCACTTATGGTTTTTGAGGAACAATCGCATGTAAGGTGCATGCCATTCATCATGCCTAAATTTTTTTTTTTCGTAAACCATCACAGATAGCGATATTCATCAAGAGACAAAAAATGCTTGCAAGTAAACTGTCTATCAGTGTCTAAAAATTCAGAACTGTCAAAATGGTAGTAAAAAAGTGTTAGACCTCTTCAGATGTGGATGGTCAGTATTTTACCACCTACATAGCAACTACAATCAAAACGATGATATCACAAAGACCCTTTTTACATTAGACATTCACATCCCGAATTTCATTTTAATCGGCAAAACCATTTTCCGATAAAATAAAAATAACGATTTTTTTTTAAATCTTTGGCGGTAGATAGCGCCTTACCGAAACACTTTTGGATAGAGGTAAGTTGGGTTAAATCGTCCTATTTTGATACCAAGAACCCATGGTAGCGCGTTGTACAGACCTTTTAGGGACACCCTGTATAAAAATTAACTATCCGAAAACTCGTGAATTTGAATCATTTAAATCTGACAACTAGTACATTACATAAGACAAAGAATGGCCAGTTCAAATAGATTTCAAAGCAACTTCGCTCCCTTCCTATTTGTGAAAAACAATATTCCGAAGTCTTTTACATAAAGGACATACTTAAATGAAATACATTGTTAATTAGCCGCACCTTCTCCAGTCCAGACGGTATCTGAAGGTCCTGCATATGGCAACCTTAGACTAAAGTTGTATTTGGAAATTAATGCTGCTTAAAGCACTTCTACACTCTGTCATTTGGGTACCTCTGCATGGACGAAACAGTTAGTTATTCAAAAAAGGTAGGTTCGTACACTAAGAATTGAAGTCGCTTAAATAGGAGTAACATTTAAAGTGAACCAAGCAAATACCAAAGTCTAAACAAATTCAAGGGTTACCTACCGCTAGTTACAAGTAGCTGAAGGCAATAGAACTCACATAAACAAAGAATTACTATTAAAATTAGTGCGGTTGAAAGATAAGAATAATTTGGGATACGGGATCAGGAGTATACATATAAAAAATCATAAATTAAAAAGTAGTGCACAAAGCGACAACGCGTTGCTCCACGCTCTGCATATAAATTTTCGCAAATGATTTGGTGATGTAACAAGGTCATGACTTTGGGATTTCCCCAAGGCAATTCCTCGGAATTTTCCAAGGTCATTGGCATGGGATTATCAATGTTATTGCACCAGGAGTTCCCAAGGTCATGATCCAAGAATTTCCCAAGGCCATTGCCCTGGGATTTGATACGGTCATAACCCCGTTATTTCTCACAGTCACTGCTCTGGGTTTTCCCAATGCCATTGCCAAGCGATTTTCCAAGGTCATGATCCTGGGAATCTCCAAGGTCATTGCCCGGGATTTCCCAAGGTCGTGGTCCTGGAATTTTTCAAGATCTAGGCCTTGGATGCTGAATCAAGGTTATGGTCTTGGATCCTGGGACAAGCTCATGCCCTTGAGTTTCGGATTCCCCCGATTACGTCACAAGGTCGTGGCTTTGGGATTTCACCGTGTTGGGTAGCTAATAAGGAGTGACCTTGTTTGTTGTTCAAGGTTGCAAAAAAACTATTCTCAAAAATGCCAAAATTTTACAAAGAACAGCAAGCAAAGTTTGACACATGAAAAGAGAGATGTTAAAATAAGAAAGTTAAACCACATTTGGTAAAACTGGCAGTGAAACTCGCACAAACACGTTTTTCGCTCTGACAGATTGTTAGCGATAGAATTTTTTCCTGGCTGAGGTAATTGACCCTGGTAATATCCCGAATGACAGTACAGAATGCGTGCGCATGGTATTTTGGTTGCCTAGAATTAGGCGTCTTTCAGAAGAGCTTTTGTCATTTAAAAGTAGACATAGGAAATCCCTATGTCTACTTCTAAATGAATAACACTCTATGTCATAAATGTACAAGCATTATGAGTATAACCACAGACATAGTATATGTTGTCTGTGGTATAACTGCACACATCTCGCATGAGGCACCGGACCTCAGACAGGTTGCAAGAAGAGTAGTTTTTGTATTTTTAAAGAATCCTACTATGCATCATCCCCAAAATAAATGCCATGTATTAAAAACAAAAAAAAACCATATACAGAATGCTTATTGTAATTCAAACTTGTGCTTGTGGGTGTAGTCAGCGTCAGCGACATAAAACTAACAGCATAGAAAGGAATATATTACAACAAATGTTCTTAGTAAAATTAATCGAATTAAAAGTGTACAACATTAAATAAAACTGAATACAAGTAATCAACAATAGTAAATTCAGCAGGTACAAGAAAGCAGTTTAAATTAAGAAGATGTTAATTTGCACAATCGTTAGAAAAGAAAACCACATGAATCAGTATAACACATCTGAATTAACCTATAACACATTAAAACTCTCGAATTAGCCATATAGTAGTACTTAAAGTTGGTTTATTTTTGCCTTTGTGAGATTTGCAGCATTGAAAATATTTTGAGCACTTTCCAAATTGTAAAAAAAACTTAAGATGGCTCTTTAGGAAATTTGATACCGTTTGTCGAAAATATTTTCCTACAAATTATTTGATCAACCAACTCACAAAATCAATTAGTGTTACTTTTGTTCTACAACTTTCCACCGCGCAAATGTGAATGGGTATAGTTAACATGATCAGCTGCAAATAGGTATACATAACCTAGTGTAAGTCTGAAATTTATTATTTTACATTTCATTGTACATAATATCGATATGTATCAATAAGTTTGTTTAGTTCAGGTTAAATGGCAAAATTGTTTTGTAGCATAACAATGTTCAGAGACTTAACCATATTACAATCGAATCACAATATTACGACATCACATTTTTTCTATACGAGAGAGCAAGAGATATCATGATTGTTTCGTAATTAAGTCTACTCACAACAAATTTATTAAGCTACAATGGCACTGGATGGTGTCTTGTTAAGGCCACAGGTACCATCTCCTCTGTACACTAAATAGTAACCTTGCTGTCCCCAGCTGGAGCCCCAAGAATTCTTGACAATCCAATAAGGCATGGTTTTATTGAACAATGGATATTCTGAAATGAATTGTTTAATACATATCGGCTTTAATACGAATTAAATAGAATAACAAAAAAGAAACTTTGTACATACTATGAATGCCATATCCGACGATTAACACGCCATGATTCAAATCGTCAGGATTGCACAGCATTTTCCACGGATGTGAAACTCCGCCAAAATAGAATTGCATAGCATTTGCGTTAATCGCAATGGAAATCGGACCATTTTTAACCAACCATTTCGCCATATCAGTTTCATTATTACTGATGTTAACAGCTCCACTCAATTGTACTTTAATTAAAGATTTATTTATGTGGCACTTCTCGTCGTCTCCTTCGTATGGGTAGTCCTGTTCTGTTTCTAGTCCGCCCAATTTTTCAATTTCCCTATTAGAAAGAAATAAAGATTACGAAAAAATTATTTTATAATGAATTTTTTTTTATTTTCATGGGTGCACACACGTTTTCAAAGTAGAACATCCAATTTATGTTAGTAAATTGCTGGTTACACAGAAACTGTTTTCAATAGACCATTATTTGAATATGTTAAATACTGCAATTTTAAGGGGTTTAGGTATTTTCCCAAACATACAGAGAGGACATGATGGCGGTCAAGTTTATAATTTGGTAAATTTATAATTTGATTTCTTAAGAGTTTCCAGTGGTAGCATTGATTATATACTATATAATTAATGGTGGTAGAAGTAACATTTTTATCTATTAATATCTTTTGAAATTTTAACCACAGATGCTTCTAGTAAAGGCAAACATATCGCCTATAATGAAAATCACTTGTGCGCATGCGCAGACTGCGCAATACTGTATTTGTTTAAAATTTTAACCAGATATCTCTAGTAGTAAAGACACACATATTGCATATTGTAAAATTGCACAATGCCAACTTTCTTATTTATGGAGACATTTCTTTGAAATTTTAACCATAGATGCTTCTAGTAAAAAAATTGGCGCACATAGCTATGACCTGTTGATAAGTACTGATCAATGCATGGAAAATCCGCTAAAGGTATTCGCCCGAGAGTGAAAAGCTTTTTACTTGTTAAATTCTACAGGCAATTTTGCACCTGATACGTTGTTTTTAATAATTTGAAGTCAATTTGAAATGGTGCTTCAAAATATCCAAATGAAAATTCTTTGTGCTCATTCAATCTGTTCATGATGCCTAGTCTTACTTATAGGTAAGTTCTTTAGTACCATCAGCTGCAGCCACATATTCATAAACAATTCCGCAAATTTCAGTTATACCAATTACTCCTCAATCACCTTTGATAATCTCTGTTCGTGAGCTTGGGAGACTAAATGGAATTAACATATTTACAACGCAAAATTGAAATGAAAATGAAATTTAATTGAAATGGCCAGCATTTCCAAGTAAATCTGCAATATTATATAGAAGTATTCGTGCCAAACTTCGTGGTAGCATCATCATTTGAGTAATAGTTGATATCTGCATGTGCCATCATCTTGAAAAACAGTGCCATCTTGGAAAACGGCGGCCATCTTGAACTTTTTCATATAAAACAGTACCCTTAATGGCAGTTATCATTTGAAAGATACTTACTGCTAATAATAATTAATGGCGCGTCATCTTCGAAAACGGCAACCATATTACAGCCAGAGTTTTTATATCAAACAGTACCCTAATAGGAGAATTCGTACCAAATTTCATGCGTGTATCATCTGAACGATTCAAGCATTTTGTCTGCCCCACGATTAACAATAAAAGTATAGATAAAGTCATCACTTTAACGGCAACGTAAATGAGTGCGCATTCTAATGACAGATATTATTCTTATTAAAAATGGGACGCGGAGCATGAAATAAAATGAAGTTCAAAACAGAAAACAATATTGTTTCCATGAAAACGACGGGAGAACCTAAACTTGCTATTTTTGACGTGTAAATTAAATTCAGAATTTCCCAAAGTTTTGGATTATGGCTTCTGCTATAAAATAAAGTTTTGGATGATACACAACGATAAAAGGAAACTAACCATCTTGTGAGAGTTAATGCATTCATGCCTTTATTGTCTTGTACAATAAATTACTATTATCAAAATAATTAAAGAAGAAACGCAAAATTTGATTCAAACACCACACATGTAAGTAAAAAAAAAGTATCCATTTCAACACTTTACATGGTTAATTTCAGTGTAGTGAGGGAAGTCTCCTGCTCTTATTCCCCTCCTTCATAATTGAACGAGAGTAGCAATGTATTCAAATAGAACATATAAAAAAAATTATCGACTATCTCAAAATAATTAACATTATTAATTTATTAATGGGTAAATTTCATTTTTGCCGTACCAAGGGATGGAATTTGGAGCAGAAAGATAATAAATGGCGGGTTTTTTTGATAGTTTTTTTAAAATTGCCATAAATCATTGTAATGAAACTGTCGGAATAAATTCAACATAGCAGAAAATCTGCCCCTCCCTGTCATTAGTCCACAAACTTACATTTAATTAATAAAATACAAGCAGTCAATACTTCACACGAATTCAATATCGGCTGAAAGTTAATGATCTCTGTACCTACACTACGTAGCCAGCTATTATTTGTATACTTAATACATTTGTTCTAATAGAACAAACGAAATAAATTGTAATTTTGCGCGGCGCCTTTCAACTTTTTGTTTATTTAAAAAAGTAGTTTTTACGTTTACGCATGCGTGGCAAGCCTTGCAAGATACTAGTTAAAATGTAATGTATTTTTGTAAGAAAGTTGTTGCAGTCACTGCAACAACTTTCTTACAAAAATACAGCACAGTACTTGCCTATAAGCGTTGTCCATTAATCCTCCATTGCAACCCTGATCAGTTTTGTCACAATCTACAAGTTCCTGTTCCGAAAACTCCAACAACTGATTGTACTTGAGAGCATACTGCCCTTCTACATTTCCAGTAACACTGAATGCCCAACAGCTGCCGCACGACCCTTGATTCTTCACATGGGTAACGACTCCTTTCGTCCTCCAATCGAATTCGACAGGTAATGTTACATTAGGAATTTCTGCTTGATGATATGACATCGTATTTTCATCAGTGCGCAAATCTGGACGATATCCCATAAATTTTTTAAACTCCGCCGCAGTCAGATCTGCAAACTTTGTGATACCATACCTTCCGGTTCCTTTTTCATGCTCATTTAATTCTTTAATTTTTTCCAAATTTTTTTGAAATACATTGAAACGATAATTGAACTCATTTGGCGAATAGACTTTATTGTACTCCTTCACGAATGTTTGAAATAACGAAAAACTCAAAGTTTTTATTTCTCTTTTTGATCGAAAACTTTGGGAAACGGAATCATCCTCGCACGTAATGTTGGTTTCGCGTCCCTGAGGTAGCCAAGGTCGATCCCATACAGTAATCCTGCATACCCGAGTGGGCGCACCGCTTAATGAACCGCAAGTGGCTAGAGCGGTCCTGCTACCTTTCGGACAATCAGAAAGTACAATTTCTGCCTTGATTCGATACATCATTCCTGCAACAACTTGTTTTGTTGCTTGTAGAACACGTACAATTTTATATTTATTATCAGATTGTGAAGTTGAATCTAAATGCCCTAATGCATTTTCTGTGTAACTAATAATTTCTGGGTCTGCACTGGCAACAGCAGTGTTGCCTCCTACTAAGTTATTTACACTTCTTCTTTGTCTAAAACTGTAAGATGAGATGGGAGAGGTGCCATCAGAACAGGTTATGTTGATTTCCCGTCCGTTAGGTAACCATTGTCTTTCCCACAAGATAATATTACAAGTATGAACACTTGCTCCGGGAAGCGTGACACAAGAATCAGGATGCGCAGTACTAGATTTGGGACACTCCGACAATGTAATTTCTGCAGTGACATTGTAAAGGAAACCAGCAACAACTTGCTTGGAAGCACTTAGTATTTGAACAATCTTGTGCTTGGTATCATGCGCTGTCTGCGAGTCCAAATGGTTTAGGGCAGTATTGGCCAAGTTTTCCACTACGGGATCGTTGATGGAAATTGCGTTAATTCCGCCTGGAATTTGCCTTTTAGATCGTACAGTCGAATAAATATCGTGCTCTTTTCCGTCTTCGGTGCCTACTTTGTAGCAATGTTTTTTTAAAAGTTGTGGGCTCTGCTTATCTTCGCTGATAAGAACAATTACGTCGCAAACACTGGTGGGATTCATGACATGCTCTTTACAATCATTTGATGATGCGTCTTGAGCGCATGCAGGATTTCCTAGCCGAAGCATTAAGTAATATTTGATACCGTCACTCATTACTTTTCTTTTTGCATTGACTACTTCTGCAACGGTAGTTTTCTTGTCGTTATGTAGAGAAGAAATGACAAAACTGGTGAGTTGCTTTAGTAAATATTTTTCTCCTTCTGGGACTTTTTCTAATGTATGATCAAAAGAGCGTTTTCCACGTTTAGTGTTCTTCTTACAGGGTTCTTCAGATTCATCAGATGAACTACTGCTAGAACTACTACTACTACTGCTACTAGAACTACTGCTACTAGAACTACTGCTGCTGCTGCTGCTGCTACTACTGCTGCTGCTATCATCGTCATCGTCACAAGACTTGTGCTTATCTACCTTACTTTTCTTTTTATTGCAACCCTTGTCGTGCTTATGATTGTGTTTCGATTTTCCCTTCTTGTGTTTATTTTTACAACTGCAATCATCGTCATCATCATCACTATCATCATCATCAGAATCGTCACACTTTTTCTCTGAATGCTTTTTCGATTTTTTCTTGTTCTTTTTCTTTCCACAATCGTCGTCATCATCACTATCAATCGAATTATCCCGATGACTACGCTTATGCTTAGGTTGGTCGGCCAACATAATTTCATCCTTTTTATCCACATCATTACTCTCTACCAACTTTCCCTCCTTTGTATCACCAGATGTTGATGACAAAACTGCATTATCTTCCGACGCAGCAGTGTGTTCCGATTGTGGTTTAGCAATGTATTCAATTTGAGATTCAAGATCGGCCCAATCAAAATCATCAAAATTATATTTCTTGGTAGTGGTTACTCTAAGTGGGTAATACTGAATGTCGGAAAAATCTTGAGAAATCGTGCAATTATTGGCTATTACATTCTTTGATCTGCTTATCCACAATTTCTGCAAATATTGCACTTTGCATATCTCAGGTGGAAGCCCAGTATCAATGGGGCATGGTTGCAAATTTTTAACATCTTTGGAACAGACGGTCGGTGCAACTTCTAATAGTAAGATAAATTTCACACCGGATGTCACCTACAATTTCGAAATAAGCGAGCGTTTTAGACACACAACACTTACCTCTTGTTGAATACGTAACACCTTAACCTGGGCGTATTTAACGTTTTGCTCAGAATTAATATGCTCAAGGGCAGTAGAGATCAGATTCTCGATGCCATCAACGTTTGTATCCAGATCAATGGGGCAGTTGGTGCAGTGAAACTCATCTTTATGAACTGTCACTATTGATTTTTCAATAGGATCAACAACAAAATGAAGCTAAAATGAAGTTGATGGTTAAGTGTAAAGAAACTAGCGTAATGTTACTTTAATGGGATGGTCTTCTGTTTCAACTCTTTCTGTTACAGGGGGAGCAGGTGACTGCCCGGTGTTGTTTAAATTGGGATCAACTTTTCGTTGACAAAGATTGTCATTTTGGACTTCGTAGTTACCATTGATGAAGTGCAAAACTGCACTACATGTGAATAATCCATTCTCGCAGGGATTTGGAACTTGTTGTCGACAATGTCCTGTTACTTCAATTGTTAATTTAATGACATTATCAGCCTGAAAGAAAATGAAATAAAGTATGCTTTTTGGAAAATATTATCTGTACAGGGTAATTGAAATTCGTGACTCACCATTGAGATCTCCCTAATGGTGAGAGATACAGTATAGTGTAGGTTAAATGGGGGCAATGGGGGCAAAGTTGCCCCTTTTTGTGACTTAAAAAAAACGCATCTTTGAAAAAGACTGAGATATCATCGAAAAACTGAAAATGTCAATGTCGTTTTCTTTTTCCCTAGCTTAAACGGTTGGAAATGGGCGATCCCCGTTAGTAACTTCTATGTGCATTTTTTTCAGAATTTCCATAATACGCTAGATGTAGAAGGTACAGGGTACAGGTTACTACTCTCTTAATTCTTATGGGCGCCACATTGTATTTTTAAGGAATGAGATAGAAGACAAAAAGAAATTCATTGGAATACATCGCCATCATAGCCACGTTAATTCAGGAAGATCTAGTTACCCATGGATGCTTGTTGCGAATTGAAATGTAAAACTTCTGATTTTGAAATTTATGTAAAATGTATAGAGTGAGACACGTCATTATTTTTCTCATCAACTTTATTCTTTTATATGACCCGTCAAAAAAGTACATACTGTATTGAGTAGCATTTTCGAAATCAACAAAGTAGGTATGGCACACACAAAAAAAAACAAAAATTTGAAACTGATGGTTTCAACAGGATGGTACACCCGCGCACAATGCCGTAATCGTGCGAGAAAATTTTTCATTTTCCAGGAAATTTGTCCAACACATGCACGATTGGGCCGTTGTGAGCGAGTGCATGACTGTTGAACGTTTGGTCTTTCTATGTGCCCTACATGTATCGTAATAAAAAATGCTACTCAATACAGTATGTACTTTTTTGACGGGTCATATAAAAAAATAAAATCTCTCAACGCCGTCTTGCAAAGCTCAAAAAGTGGGCAATGAGAAAGGTTTTTTAGCGCATTTTTGGAAAAAAATACGCTATGGCTGGCTGGTTGGCTGTCCGACTGAGTTCTTAGCAATTACAATAGCTAGAGACTTCAAATTTTCACTAAAAGCTTTCTGCTATAGTGTAGAATTACTTCGTGAGATCCATAATTTTAAACTTTGCTAATGAAATACTGATCTGCATTACCAAAAATGCGCTTTCATCATGCATATGCTGATTTACAACTTGTTTTTATTTTTTTGTATTTGACATCAGAACAAATAGAAACGAAATCGGCCAATTTCGCTTTTTCCGGCATATCTTTCGAAGTAAGAAGAATTTTCTGGTTTTCTTTACAGCATGATAATTGCGCAACTTTTCCTTAATTTGGCGATCTTCTATTCTTTCTGAGATCCCTATGATACACATCCTTATCTTGGACACTTCATTCTTTATTTTTTATTTATTCTTTGCATAATGAAAAAGAAAAGGAATAAAAATAACAACTACTTATACTATGTACACTACCTATTTTTTTTACAATGTCAGAGGCAAAGTTATTATCAATACATCATCGTTTAATTAGCGATAGATAAGTTTTAAAAAAGTCTATCTTTGAACTATCGATCGGTATTATCAGATCAAACAGACAATGGCCCATATGAATAAAAGGGAGCATATGCTTATACTTGCAAAATTCGAAGTAAATACTCGTAAGTGCCCCCTCACACTGGGCGACTTAGCAGCACCGCTTAGCCACGGGACGGGACGCAGTGCAGAGCTGCTCAGCAGCCCAGTGGAAAGCGGCACTTACAAGTATTTACTTCGAATTTTGCAAGTATAAGCATTTGCTTCCTTTTATTCATATGGGCCAATGTCATTGATCATGCGTCACTACTATGGGTGCCATCTTTAATTCAAACAGGTCTATCCAATATCTATGAAAAATTGATTTGGCCCAAAATTGCAGAAGAATTGTCAGATAACCAAACCACGTCCTTTAACAGCGCTTCTGCAAAATTGGCAAATCTGTCACAGAAATAGATGCCTACAATCATAAAAAGGTCTACGAAAGAACTACAGAAGTTTTTTGCGTATTTTTATTAAAAAATGATAAAGAACACAACAATTGGCGTAGCCAATTCACCCCACCTACTTTTAGTATACTTATTCTTGAAACGAAACGAGCGTTATCAATAATTATGAACTTGCTCGTGAACTTGTTTGTACCTAAATAATTATCTCGATGATTATGCACAAACAAAACAAATGTAAATTGCGCACAACACTTGTGGCACTAATAGAAGCAAACCTATCCACGGTTTGGCACAAATCGGTAGTAGCTTGCAAAAGTTATTGATGTTTATAGTTTCTTAGAGAATGATCAACGGCGAGGGTTTTTTATACATAAATATTTAAAAACAGCCTGGCAAGCATTCAAAATGTATGCAAGAATGATCAGGTTCTTAAGAAAATTCTACGTAATATTCGAGGTAATATTCCATTTTCACATGTATGCCCTCCTCTGACATTCCGTTTTCGAGATATCCCCACTTAAAGTTTGTCTCTCTCTCTCCTATCGCCGTTTGTGACTACCCTCCTTTGACACTTTCTCCTCAACATATGAGGAATTATGACAGAACTTGATATTAGAGGGCGGTGGTTAGTAAAAATTAATTCCTTTCGTTGAAATCTCAATGCATGGAAAATGCGCTAAAGTTACTATCGCCTTAGAGCGAAAACCTTTTTACTTGTTTACTTACCAATAAAATGTGTAGGTGGTGTAAAAAACGCAAATAAATAATAAAGTATAAGAAATAGGTAGAGGAACACCTTATATTAATAGAAGTAGAATTTTACGGAATGCTATAATAAAAAATACATATTTTAAAATTTCTGTAATTGGACAAACGCTTTAATCAATCTAAGTACGTATGTTTCAGAGGTACAGGGTGAAAACGAAAAGTTGATTTTTGGGGTTCATATCGTATCCCATATAAGATATAAAAAAGGTAAAAACTGCCTATTTTAGATATTTTTACATAGAATCCAGTGGCGCAGTCAAACAAAATTTTTTGAAAATTTTTCTGACATTTGGCCCAAGCTTGGTATTTCTTAAACACCCTCTCTCGGTATATCTTAACGTCAATTTTGTTGCATTTTTTTCCTGATTACATTCTTGTATCACAAGCTATATTTTTTTTAATTTGAGCCATGAAAATCAATAAAAACCTTATTTTTTAGGGTATCTAGTAGGTCATGAATTTTTGGAGATTTTATCTTATTTATTGTATCGAAGGTAACTAAGGCAGCTGATACCAAGCAATAAAAATGGCTGAAATATACCATTTCAAAATTTTGAAATATGATATAATATTATATAATGCTGGCCACGCCAAGAAAGAATGCCGGTCACAGACTACCTGATGCCAGTCTACAATCGTATGGTTTAATATAAAAATCAGATGTTCTGTGACCAGCATGCTCTCCTGGCGAGCATAATAGTATACAGGCTCATTCAAATTCGAGGGCCACCATGGGGATTCGCATGGGGATATAGGAAACTGTAAGAGATATGACTCGAGATATGAAGATAAGTTTAAATTTGGCAAAGGAGCGTATTTTGATGCTTACTTTATTGAATAAAAATGTACTATAAAAACATCTTTCTTATCACATTTTCAATTTTTTTACCCTAAATTCAAAAATAAATTTTTTAAAACTAAGGGTAAAACTATAAAAAAGTAAAAATTCGCTGTTATTAAAAAAGGCAACGGTACCAGTATCGTATTAGGCAAAATTTTAATAAGGAAAAAATCAAGGAAAAAATGCACTATTGGGCAGATTTGTAGTGCAATAATAGTCTGTGCAAAGATCAATGATCTTTGGTCTGTGTAATATCACTGTCGAGAACACAGCTTGGAGGTGAGTATTTTCGGTTATTTTTGACACTAATAAAATAATTCTTGACCGAGGTAGGTACTTTTAAAATATTCAAAAATACAATGAGTACTTAGGCATTAATAGCATTCAACCTCAAACATATTTTTTGGCGAAATAGATAAATGGCTGTTTTAAACTAGATTTAGGTGTGTGTGGCCACCAGAAAACGTAGAGTAAAATTTATAAAAATGCGTTGAATATCTTTGAATCAGAATACACAAATATAGAAACCTATTATCGAGCCTATTATCATGATTCATAATACTACCAACAAAATGTTATTTGATTTGTATTTTTTGTACTCAATTTATTTTATCAAGGTACCTAATATAGACAGGCTTGATAACTATAAAGTAAATTCCGAGGTAAAATCCTTACATTGTTTTTTATTTTTATAAAACTAAAGGAGCAACAGAGCAGACTCAAACGTTACATTTTGATCACACTAAAAATAAATAGTAATTGAACCCTGCCAACTTAATGCTAATTACCTCTGTTAGCATCACGCATTAGTACCTACCTACTAACCACCTAGTTATTGCGTCACAGTTTCCTGATGCCAAAATCCTGTCTTGACTGTCCAATTCTTTCTAAGGACTACATAAATTAAATTAATGCTTATTCTACCGCTCCACCAAATTTATCGAACTGTTAATTCTACATTAGTTGGCGTTGGAGTACAACAGTGAATATATACAGTGTGCCACAAGATTCTCTATTGGGGCCTACGTTATTTCCTATTTATATCAATCTCCTCCAAGTTCAAAAAGGCTTTGTGTAAAACTTTCTAGATGCAGTCCAAAATATTTTCAAAAATTTCTATCCTTATACAAAACTTTTGCAATTCCCAGAAATCACTAGTAAACTTTTAAATAATGTAGTGCACCTGCAACAAACGTATCATAACATTGCTCATGCACTGTTTATAGAGTTGCAATAATGAATAATAAATTACTCAAGTAGTAAAATAACTATAATATGAAATTACCTCGGTAATTACGCTGTAATAAAAATGTTAATCTATATATACACATTAATTGTAACCCCTGGATAAGAAATCCTATGTTAAAACTACCTATAAATAAGTGCACCTATATAAAAAGTTGGCAATGTGGTTGTTTAGACGTACTTGCAATGTATAGTTGGCAAATGTTTCATAGGCTTATATGTCTTACCTATGAGTAACCGATACATCTCAACATTACATGAGCCTGTTAACATTACTTGGTGATGTTTGTGATACCCGCATCTACTTCTGCAGGTGTCAGGAAATGCCACCTGATTTTGCTTGGTTTTAAATTTAGACAATGGCAATTGTCCCAAGATGAATGTGAATACAAAATTAGTCATTTTCACATTTTCCACAGAGTAATATTATTTCTGAAATAAAAAATACAAGAAAACTCTTACCTCTTTTTGCGCGTTTAAAAGGCTGTGATATTGAAAATCGTGTAAACTGTCACTTTTCGAATTTAGATTATTTAAATAGCCTTGTATATAAGGATAGTACAAGTTATAAGAGGCATCTTCAGAACTATCACTTTTTGTATACACCAAATTACAAACTAAAATAAGCGCACAAAACCATGGTAACGCCATTTTTAAATTAATTTTTACGTTGACAGTTCTTTTATAAACTATGCATACCCCTCTGCGCATGCGTCACATTTAAAGTCATTGGCGTAGGTACTGAACCTTAAAATGATAATAAATAAAAACAACACACAATTATCTCTAGTTTCCTAGAAATTCGATTACATTTTGCAAGATACCGATATTTTGCCGACCTAAAATAGTAACAGACTGCTCAAAGTTTTTAAAAGTTTCAAACGGAAGAAAACTCTGCAGAATTCCATCTTCCTGAATCTTATGAATTTTGAGAAGTATTGGACAAGTTTTCAGCGTGCCTCAAATACTTACCCAAAAATGTCTACCAGCTCTCGGACTATAACGTTTTGGACACAGTGCTTCTCGACGTTTCAAATCAGTTATTATTAATTACTTAAATTATCCTTATTGTTCGTTGCATAGTTGATCACATTTAAAATTCTTGAGCCACGTGTAAAATATAACGTTTTACACTATCCTTGCTCTTGAAGGTGTAATTACATTGATTGCAAATGAAATTTTGCGTATTTAGTTTTACAGCCGTAAAAACTACAAAATTGAGTAATTGTAAACGGAGTTGGAAGTTGGGACTGGAACTGAAAATACCCCTTTTTTATTTTATTTTTACTAAATGGAATGGTCTAACCAAAATCAGCGTTGGAACACGAAAGGTATAGAAACGAATTTCCAATGATATAGATTTAAAATTAAAGAGTTATTGTTAGCTGAATGTGGTTCTGGTCCCTCGTGCGGAATACACTAAACTACAGATGCATAAATGCATTACGAGCTCAATCGCAGACTGTTATTTCTGTTCCTGTGCATACGTGCTAGAGTGCTTTTTGTTAGGTGTGACAGGTAACAATGGGCTCTTGTGCGGGATCAGTACACATACACGATACACACAACTTTGAATTAATGATCAAAAATATAAATTTGAGCTGGGGCCAAAAGAATGTCCATAATTAAAATATTCATAAATTGAGCAAACATTTATACCAAAAATAACAATGATTTCAAAGCAATCAAAGTTAGCGATATGAAACACATGATTCTGCATTGAGGTTAAATCAAGTCAATTTTCAAAAACAAAGATGGAAAATAAAAAATATCAAATGTTGCATACAAAACACAAATAAATTACAAAGAAATGCGAAGATTACTACTTGCATGAAGCCTTTCTCCACCGCTGGGCGCTGTTAATAAAAAAAATGGTAAGATAGCTCTAACCTACCAAGCGTTCGTGCTTGAGATGGCGTAGGCATATCTCTCTACGCATTCTTTGCATCTCAGGATTCACCATTTCTCCAGCCTTCTTTGTTGCCTCATTTTCTTCAACATCTTCTCATTCCCCGAGTCATTCGACACTACCAGACATCAACTTCCGTAGTTCCTTCGATTTCTTTGACTGGATCAAACTTTATCGGGTCTTTTCCATTCGCTGGATTCTTTGACTGGTTTCATCCGAGCGCTTATAAGATTTCAAACTTCTTTGCGCTTCTATGCTTCCTTGCTTCGTGTTCTTGCTTGGGGTTCCTCGTCATCTTGGAATTCCTCAGTTACCGGCAGTTCGGTTTTTCTTAATTCTTCATATTATGGAGAATCTTCGACTGTATATCGTCGTCATTTCATTTTCCTTAGTTTGTGTGGCTATTTCACCACAGGATGGCGCGGAAACCCACAATATTTATATTTAGCGTTTGCGAACAGTCGCTATAACGATAATACCTTCTGGAGATTTATTTGCATCCTCTGATTAGGCCTAAAATGAAATCACTTATTCTTCTGTCCAACATCCAACAATTATCGTCAAAACTAATTGATCATAAAAGTACTAGCTCTTCCACATTCAAACGTCGGAAGCTACGAGTAGGCAACCGATGCAACATGGATGATTCAACATCTACCTGGCTAGAGAAAAGATTACTCTATCCTAGAGGGTTGGTGAGAAATATATTATTTTTGGCCAAGAGTTCGTATTGCAAGGTTTACTTGTGGAGGGAAGAAGGGAAATAAAACAACAATCTTTGTTTATTTATTACCAAACCGTTCTTATTTTCTCAAACACCCAATGAAAGAGATGCAATCAGTAAATAGGGACAATTTAATAATTAACACACACAATCATTCATACTCATTACTCAAATAAATTCAATTAGATTATGCAATATGGTCAATACGTTTCAAATCAACATAAAATTTGAATATTTTGAATGCACGAGCAATCTTGATTGGTCTAAGAAAATCTGAATTTCCTTCAAATAGCTGTAAACCAGTCTGTCTTTTCGCAGGCAGAGACAGCGATTACAGAAAGGTGATCTTTTTATACGAATCGATGCCATAATTTACTTAACACATCAATAAATTCTTTGATATACGAGGGGAGAGGGGCACCAAGCAATCATACCATTAATATCATTCACCCCAAATCGTCAGGGTCATTTAGGCCTTTAACAGTACCTAGTTCCCGGCCTGGGCCACTATAATTATGAGAAACACAAGGGGCACCTCTATTTCATAATCAGCTACATCGAGGCCTACGATACTTACAGGCCGGAGCGCTCGAAAAAGTCACGTGACGTTAGGAGTCATATGAAATACATTACGGCTTATGGAAAAACCGTGCGCGGCTCCACTATTTATTTTTTTACTCCGGATCCGTTCAACATAGAGCCACGAAATTTCAATGAGAGCTTGTCAATATAGTACACACAATCAAATTATGGTGTTCGTTAATTTTTAATAACACTAAAAATAATTAATTTTTAGGTTTTAAAGTATTGAAAATAAAACGATGTTAGTAAATCCGCGTAATGTATTACTAACAATTATTTGAAACATAATAATTCCTTTGCGTGTTCACTTATTCTTGAAATCGCGCTATTTACTTCAGCTGCTGAAAAAAAAGGAAACAAGAGACCATTTCTTAAAAATTCCTTCTGAAGAACATTTTTGTGTCCTTTGGTCACAATTCATTCGATATATGTGATACAATTATAGCAATAACAAAAAATTTCTCGCATGTTGAATTTTTCTCTGCGCGGATAATAAATGCGCGATTTTGTAGGGCCTTTTAAAACTATACTAACATCAGATTAGGCATCATATACGCATAATTGGAGGCGAATATCATTCTAGTTTAAGACACCGAAAGGATTATAATGATATAGTTCCTAGAAAAAGAAATATGATGATGTAAAGATAGAAAAACGCGGATTTACTAACATCGTTTTATCTTCAATACTTTAGACCTAAAAATTAATTATTTTTATTTTATTAAAAATTAACGAACACCATAATTTGATTGTGTGTACTATTGACAAGCTCTCATTGAAATTTCGAGGCTTAATGTTGAACGGATCCGGAGTAAAAAAATAAATAGTGGAGCCGCGCACGGATTTTCCATAAGCCGTAATGTATTTCACATGACTCCTAACGTCACGTGACTTTTTCGAGCGCTCCGGCCTAGTATCGTAGGCCTCGGCTACATACATACCTACTACATAGCTATTCTAATCATGTTACTCAGCAACACTCAAACACGCTAGTACACTTAGTAGCTGGGTTAATGAGAACAGGTAATTTACGTCCAGGTCCTCATTTGCCATCCAGAAACGTGGGTATTCCTCTGTGAAATCCCTACCCTATACATGGAACCATTGAATAAATAAATGATGCAACTAAACAGAGATAGGTATGCAAAGAGTCTTATCACGTCAGCCGGCCAATACCCAAGCCCACTTTAGTCCCGGAACCACTCAACGCTGTAAACGTAACTTCCATATCGCCGTCACATCATAGCCGACTCTATCATCTTGTGTCTTCCTAGGACGTTCAATGTTTATTGGAGCAACGATATTTTCAACTGCCACTGAAATCCAGTTTATATCTTCAAATAATTCTTGCATATTAATGCCCATTTGTTGTCAGCACGAAAGGACGGTTAAGATCCAAGATGATGAAACGTAGTGTCAACAGAACCGTTCAGGTATATGCTGACGTTTGCTAATAAAAATAAATACAAGGAAATACGTTTACGGCGTTAGTTAGAATATAATCACCAGAAACTAATACTCCCTACGCCTAATCAGATCAGTGTTATATCAAGTGAGCATTTTTTTGTCGAAGGTGTGGATTCTGTCATCTGCCAGTTGTTTCCTGACATTCAAATCATATGTCACACGTGGCCATTTCCATTTCGGGTTTCCTAAAATTACAGTGAAATTTTCATTAAACTATCATATACTCAATGCCAAAAATTCATGGTGGAGCCCTATTTAAAGAATTCAAGTCCAAGAGGGACCCAAACCGGTCCACGTGTAATCACAATGTGCTCTTCGTGTAAGTATCTAGTAATACCACAATTATACACATCCAGTGATATCACAAACATGATGCTTAGTCACTAATCTGCTTACTACAGAGTGGTAACGGTGGTCATAAATGCAACGAAGTGTGGGAATTATTTATGTTCGCTTTTCGGTCTTGAAAAATGTTACCATATATTCCCATATACCAATTAAGGGCAACGGTCACTTACCCGCGGCGGAGCGCCTTTTCGCTCACACTGATTCCATACGCCGATACTCAGCGCCGCGTTTCGCTCGAGTGAACATGTGAATGGAAAAGGCCGCGCGTAAGTGAGCGTTGGTGTTAAATCTTGTTCTTTTCTTCGAGTCAAAACAGAAAACAAACCTCATGAGTAAAACACGCTAACTACGTAACTACTCTTGATGTAAACGGGTCAAGTCAAAAATTGTTTGAACACTAGTTTTATTAGAAAAACAACCAACATCGAATATTGAAATATTTTGTGTATGTACAATATATGTTAGTCCAAAAGTTGACAAAACCTTTGTTTGAGCTTCTACAGCTATAAGTAACTTACGAATATAGAAGCGCTTTGTTCTTACCATCCCCTTTTGCCCTTACATGGCCTTAAAATGAAAAGTGTGTAGTCGTTTGACTGATGTGCATTCAAAGTTACTCAAAATGTAAAAAAAAAGAAA